TTGTCTTGAGTTGTTGAGTTTTAGTCTTGAGTTGTTGTGTTTTTGTCTTGAGTTGTTGAGTTTTAGTCTTGAGTTGTTGTGTTTTTGTCTTTAGTTGTTGTGCAGATTATGTTTTGATCTGGGTTATATAGGAATTTAGAATTCACTCTTTACTGTTGATTTGAAGCATTTATGGAAATTAGCAAAGGCTCAAAGCCGTTCTCAAGTTGTGACAGTCCAGATGTTATGTGGATGGAAGCAAAAATATTTCTGTAGTTTGAACTTCAGTCTAGGGTGTAAACACTAGTATCTGTAACAAAAAGTTGTCATGTAGCGTGCGTAGTCCAGTGAGTAGCGATCCTGCCTCTGGACTAAGAGGTTGGGAGTTCGAATCCCAGCCGATGTCGCTCACCCGACATGCACGCTACTGTTTAGGGTCGCAGTCCTTAGGGCGGGACGTTAAGCCATGGTCCATTGTTAATTGTGCTTGTCGAAAAGAGCTGGGGGGATTTCCCTGGTACAATGAACCTGTAGATACTGTATATAGCGTCTGTCTTCTCTGTCACGACCAGTGGAAGATTAGCTTTTAATGAGCTAAACTGGTTCTAGATCACTTTCACTTTTTTGTCACAATGCCCATGGTCCTTACATGTACATGCTATAACATAGTCACTGTAATGTTGTGCTAGTGGCTCTTGTAGTAAAGAAACATGAAACATGAAAGTCTCTTCAGTCAGGACAGTAGGGTTATCTCTGGGCCATCACAGCTGTGCTGCTGCAGAGTGCTTTTAGTTTTACACTGCCTGATCGTAAATCTGGGGGCTGGGATCTGATATGTCAGCCCCAGAAACCAGCCTGGGTGCCCACCTGACTCTACATTACAGTATAATGCTCAGGATGACACACTTATCTGTGGTTCACATTAATGAGAGTAGGTATACACCCGGCTGTGTGTTGGCTGTACCCTGTCCTTGGTACTGAATACACCATCCACATAGTTACTGTTAGTAGTGCTTGTCATGAAGAACACACTTATCTGTGGTTAACATCAATGACAGTGAATTTACACCCGGCTGTGTGTTGGCTATATCCTGTCCTTGGTGCTGAATTCACCATCAACACATCAACTGTTAGTAGTATTATTATAAATACAATTCATTTAGTGATGCTGTGGTGAAGAGGAGTGGTGGATGTCACTCAAAAAGTCCGGAAGTTATCTCCGTTATTTATCCAGTTACCCTACTAGTTTGATTTGTCTTTGAATATTTGAATATATACATGTTGTAACCTGTATTTAGTGCTAAACCTTGACAATCCCCCAAGTCCCAGGATTATCCTTAGTTTGACACCTGAATCGATAACTTGAATTCTGGAAGTGAGACGTCATCTCAAATCAGCTGAAACTGGATTGAGACATATTCCTGCTGAAATGGGTATATAACGAACCTCCCCCTCATTAAGCAGCATTAATGAACCATCCCTTCCTTATTGACCCAGATGGCCTGAATAGACTGTGGCGAACCAAACGGTGTGGCGAAATCTAATTTGGACACATTGGAATGTGTCAGTTCTTACATTTGCTACACACGCTGATTTCATCAGTCATTTCATTACGTTGACTTTATTACTTACTTATAATGTAGCGGGTGGCAAAATTAAGGCAGCTGATTGTTTCTTGGTGGATCTTCAGTCTGACGTGTCCTAGATTTAATTAATCCCAATATACTCATCTCTAGAACACCTCAGTTACAAAGTATCATAAAATTTTGCTGCATAAAAAACCAAGGTGACCTCTATATGTCATGATTGCCAAATTTTTAAAGAATCAAGTTAAATGTTTCAGCAAGTTGGGTTGAATTAGGATATAATTTTACACAGAGTTTCAAGCATTAAGGTAAGATTTTAATCTGGACTTCTGACCCATGTCCTGAAATTAGAAGAAATTCTATGGATTGTTTATCTCTTTGGTTTTTGAATATCCATTCTAAAGTAAAAATTCAATATTGAAAACAGAAGACTGGGAAAGAATTATCTTACTGAAGAAGACTGGGAGTAAAATTTGAATCTGTCGGTTGCATCCCTGAAGTGTTTGCACCAAGGTACAGGTAGACTTTCTCCTTTGGCCTGAGAGTGAAACTAATGGCTCTGTTGACCGATCTGGTCAGCTACTCACACTATAAATGATAAAGGCTGAAATCTGCATATAAATTACCCATGAAGCACTGCTCCCAGTAGCGCTGAGGCTGGCAGAAAAATGTCCATTTCTTGGTGTGTGGGCAGTTTAGAGGCAGATTTCAGCCCATAGCATATAAAATGTTCAAGGAAAGGATACATTATATATGTCCTAAGTCAGTATCTTTAACCAAAAAGAAATGATCATGCTTTTGGCCATGACGCCATGAATTATTGGTGCATGGGCAGTTTCCATGCCGCAATGTAGCTGTTCCAACTGATAATGGCTCGCAGGCTTAGCTGGAAAGGAATAAAGAGCTATAGAAAATACTGTATGCTTTCGGATATTACAGCATGAGAAACTGCTACAGTTCCAAAAAAGAAACCATGTTTCTGGCAGAAAAAATGTCTGTTTCTCCTGCGGCTGAATAACAGGCCATTTTTTGCTGACTTACATTTCTCTACTTCTAACTGCAAAATGCATTAAAAGCTACATGTATAACAGTACTCAGTACTCAAGCTTTAAGGTATGTAAGTTATTAGCTTTGGAAATAGAGAGATATAATGTAAGACATCGATCACTGCATTTGAGAAACTGCTCTTTATGTTTCTACTGTGTCTGAATTAAATGATTTTTGACTGTCTGAAAGCAAACACAGGAGTATAAGCTTTGGAAATAGAGAGATATAATATCAAACATCACTGCATTTGAGAAACTGCAGCTAGATATACATGATAATGTTTCTGCTGTGTCTGAATTACATGCTTTTTGCTGATGTTTTTTTTTTTTTTACTTTTTGGGTGAAACATGCAAGCATTAAAAGCTACATTTCAGTGTGTAAGCACTATTTTCTACAGGTCTTTATTCCTTTCAGCTAAGGCTGCCAGCCAATATCTGCAACATAAAGACTGCCCATGTACCAATAATTCATGGTTGAAACGTGGCTCGTTTTGTTAAAATATGCTGACTGCAGACATAAGCATTCGTTTTCTCTGCTCTAGCATAAAATCTGCCTCTAAACTGCCCATGCACCAATAATTCATTGCTGCAGTACCAAAAATGTAGCCTGGGTACCATCCGGATTTTCGCTACGTAACGCTCGAAAAAGTGATGACTGCCAAAAAGTACAACAGCCATCACTGGAATACAGGATTAGATAATTCAACAAATATCAGTGGGAACAAAGTACCCATGTACCAATAAGGCATTGCTGTAGTGCAGGGACAAAGCTATTATTCTTTTATTCTTGTTTTTGGAATACGTCCTTGCTTTGCTCATGCAGCAGTGCAAAATATTAACCAGTTGCTTCAGAGTGCCAAAAACTACAACATCCATCACTAGAATCCAGGAACAGATAATTCCTGACAAGTTCATTCCTCCCTGCTGCAGACCCTGCCAGCCAATATTGGCTTCCTGAGTTCCAGTATCTGACTCTCTCCCTGACATTGGCACTTTCTGTATTGATTTGTACTCGGGTTACATGATTCTGTAGTTAGCTGATGGCTGGCTGGGCTACGGGAAGTCAGTTCAGTGGTTGTTTGATTCAATTTTTATAAGATAACATGAAAACAGAGAATAAATAATCATGTATGACCATGATTCAAGTTTTACATCTAGCCTGCTTTTTATCATGTCCTCTTCCAGAATATTTAGTTTTACAAGAACTCATGTATATGCATGTATGGGTCACCTTTAGTATTATATGTACATTTGTTCTGCTATGTCTTTTTAGCCTTATGTTCAATAAACGGGCTTAATTAATTAATGACATTAATCGGAAATTTCCGCTTTTGCTTCTAGCCCTATTTATTCACTATAACAAAGTAAACAAACAAACAAACAAATTGTTTACCATCTTGTTTACAAACAAATTGTTTACCATCTTGTTTACAAACAAACAAATTGTTTATCTTGTTTCTAGCCTTATTTATGGACTACGTCACAAACGTTCATAAAGAATATGATGGTAGGTCAAAGGTCACTGTATGGCCAAACCAATCCAATTTATTGTTTCTCATTTAAAATTTATTAGCAAAACAAAACTGTTGAAAAAAAATGAATTGCTCAAGCTTCAATTTACGATGAACCTTTGCAAAACAGACAGAAATGCAAATGTTATGTATTGTGTTGAACTTTAAACTCATGTTGTAGAATTGTGATGTGTGTGAAACAACAGATTGTATTGGTTCGGCCAGTTTTCCATTCCTTATTTGTAACAACATTGTTGTTTTTCCTTCTCAGATCCATGCATGACTTTATAGTAATTATACATAGTTTGTAGGAAATTTCACATGTTCACATGTTCCATTTGAGGGATTGAGTGGGTCAATTATTATTCAGTGATTGTTGAGAGAAACAAGCTAAAAACTACCAGTCTTGGTTTTCCTCTATTGATGCTGGTACCTCAGCTTTCCCTCCTCCCCCTCCATATATAATGATTTGTCCCTCCTTCCCCCACCCCTCCCTCCATATCTCATGATTTGTCCCTCCTTCCCCCACCCCTCCCTCCATATCTCATGATTTGTCCCTCCTTCCCCATCCCCCTCCATATCTCATGATTTTGCCCTTCCTCTGAAACATCACCTACCTACACCTATGACACACAACCTGTTAGCATGTTACCAAATTGCACTCCATAGTTACATACATGACTTTTCTCTTCTGACAAACCATTGACACAGTTTTGTATAACACATTTTTCCTGGTCACACATTGACACAGTTATAGTGATACAATCTCTGATGTGTAATTGTATAGGTTGATGTTGTTTGATTATTTCAATACTTAGTCAAATCAGTAATTTTGTGTGCCGACCTTGTGAGTGACCTTGCCGCCCCCCTCCCCACAGCCGCAGTTCAGGCAGTGCTCGACAACATGGAGGATCTTGGGAGTGCCGGAGCCAAGGACACGGACCTGATCTTCCTGAAGGGTCTCATGGACAGTCCCGTCATGAAGTCCCTGGTTAGGGTGAGTTATTGATATTACTAACTAGTTATTGATATTACTAACTAGGTTAATGAGTTAGCGATGAGTTAGTAGGTGAAAAAGGACACTGACCTGATTTTCTTTGAAGGTTTTGAGAAACAGCCCCGTCATGAAGTCCCTGGTTAGGGTGAGTTATCAATATCACTAACTAGGTTAATGAGTTAGTTAACTAGTGATGAGTTAGTGAGCCAAGGACACCGACCTGATCTTCCTCAAGGGTCTCATGGACAGTCCCGTCATGAAGTCACTGGTTAGGGTGAGTTATCGATATTACTAACTAGGTTAATGAGTTAGTGATTAGTTAGTAAGTTAGTGATGCCAATGGTGTAGTTAATGACTGAGAGACAAAGTTTAAGGGAGAGTAAAAAGGAAAATCTTGCTGTCAAATGTGATGATCTGGCTTGTTGCAGTTCAGTTTGTGCCCACTAGGTGGCAATAGAGCACTGCAACTTTTCACCATACAGTAAAAGCAGAAATTCAAGTGATGCTATGGGCAAACAGGCAATGGCTGCTTTGCTACATGAATGAGTGAATGTTTGGTTTGAATTACAATGTAGACATTCTTTCAGCTTGTTTTGGCGAAGTGTCTTATTTTGTGATGCAGTATTTGGTAAGTGGCTTATAACATGACATAAACACAACATAATATTGTGTTATATAACACAACAAAAACCCCAACACGACATGACTGTGCCGTGGACTGGACTTTCCTTAAAAATATGACGCCATTTTCTGGAAGCTGCTGTGACCTTCAGAGCTGTAGAATGTGGCAAGGTCATTTGGCATGGAGAAGGAATTTCCCTTTAACGGATTCCTTAAGACTTGTTACGCCTCCACCAGACATGCTTAGTTAGGGTCGGAAGGAAAGCACTCACCTTGAGAACGACCTTGTACAAGCCAAGTTGTATGGAAGTACAGCTTTGACCTTCAGGACGGGATGACCTTGTGCATGGGCTTGGGTTTTTAACTTTTTTATTCAGCACACTGGATGACAATAATTACAGATCTATTCAAAGTTATGATTAGTGGCTCTCGTATCAAAACTTTTCAATTTTGCTGACTAGAACCAAATTATTCCCCTGTTCTGGCCCGTGTAATTTGATCTCTACCCTCCATGTTGCCACTGGCAGCTAGAGCATGCTGGGAGTGTGGTATGTCTGTGGTATGTAGCCTGGTCGGTGCAGGGACAGTTTACTCGATATGCCGGGGGAGTCGGACTAAACTGAAACTTCGTAAAGAACTTGTTTGTTTGTTTGTACACATTTCAGGGGTGGTCCATTAATTCCCATACTTGGGTTGTTAAGAAAACGAGAGGTGTTTTTACTGTGTGATTCCCGAAGCTTGTGCACCCCAGCCCTTGATACTGTGATTGTTAGTGAACTGTCGCTGACAGTGTGACTATTTTAGGAGCGAGGCTGACCAGTTCTCCACTCAGTAAGTATTAACGACAGGTTAATGCCATTAATTACCTCGTTAATCAACAGTAATTTATGTTCATTATACTATTTATAGACTAAAATTTATGTCTTTATTTGCAAAGTCATGCCAGAAGTCTAATTGCTTTTACAGAGTCAAAGATACTGTGCGGTACAGAACAATAATACGGTAGAGACAACTAATGTCTGGGAAAAACACTTCTACTAGTACACTTGCTATTATGGGGTTTGACTTCTTCTTTGAAGGCAGTGGATAATGAATAGTTCCACATTCTGCATAATGAGTGGGTTTTGTGATCTTAGTAGAAACACAGTTTTTTGGTGATTTTTCTAAATGATGAAAGGATGGAGAAATTGTGGTATTGTTTGAAATAATCTATTTCTGAAAACCTTTACAATTAAAGACCATTGGGACATGGTTTTGTAGTGAGGACAAATCCTATATTTACACAATGTTGAAAGAAAATGTAACGTTACATTCAGACATGCTCTATACATGATAATTCCTTTGTAACAAACAAAAATTTGCTAAAAAGTTGGAAGTGAGAGTTCACTGTGTGCTTAGAGATTTGCAGGAAGGGTCTTAGTTGCTAATAAGGTTTTAGGAAAGACCAGACAGTTTTGGAGTGTGGATGTGATTTTCACAATTGTAGACATATGTAAGTCACAACTTAATTTAGTAACCCTGTTTTGAGTAATTTACCTTGACCAGTGCCCTGCTTTAACTCTGGTTCGTTAACTGTGTTAACTTTGGTTAATTAGCCTTGACCATTGGTGCCCCAGTCTTCTTCTTATCCTTCTTATCCATGTTTTACGTCTATTGATTCCCCGTATTTCGGGGGTATAGACGTGCTTGCACAGGTGCATGTTTGGGCTTGTCGTTTTGCCCCTCAGCATGCTGAGGTGCACAACAGCAAGCCTGTGCAAGTCTTTTTTTTTTGAAGCAAGGTTTTTACTGACTGGATGCCCTTCCTAACGTCAAACTCTAAAGTTTTTGACAGCTTTCAGAGACTGGCTGTATGAGGAAATGTGTGTTAAGTGCCTTTCCCAAGGGCACAACATCGGGGTATGTAGTAGGTGGATTTGAACCCAGGGCCCCTGGGTCCCGGGCTGAAAGCCCCACCACTATACCACACGACGCCGACGCCAGTAACCCAATTATTATACTAAGTCTTGTTGTTATTTATTGGACCAGACTGTATTAGTGGCACAGTCCATTCATTACATGGGGGTGCAGGGTCAATCATTATAGTGTAATAAGGTATAGATTTTCCAATAATTTTGATAAAAATGCTTGTGATAAATTTTGACGTTGGCAAAATTATGATACAAAACTGTTTGCCAAACATTTGTATCTGTAATTGGGAAATTTTATCCCAGTCCCCCTCGCTAGTGTAGTGGTGGGTTCCGCCCAGCTGTTCTCCGTGCCCGTGAGGAATTAGCCTGAGGGTATCAGATTACATCAGGCTGGGCGAGGACGGAGGGACGCTACCTGCTAACGCGCTTGGCTGGACGTACTGGAGACAAACACGCCTGGGTTTTACTCTCACAGTGTCAGTTTGACTATTGCTGCAAGTTTCTGCTGCTTACAACAGGGGTCAGGTTAGGGAAAGGTCAGTGTTTAGAAGGTAGATCTGTTGTTTCAGTTGTAACAGTTGTTTCATAGAAAATATCACTGCTGTATATCAGGACATGGACGCTGATAAGTTCTGTAAAATGTAGGCCGCTTGGCTGGACCCACAAAAGATCCCACGCCTGTTTAGAACTCTCGGAAACTCCTATTGCAACTTACAAGGGTTTGGGAAGGTTGGTGTTATGTTGTTTCACTGATAATATCAATGCTGTAAGTTTGGGTCAGATTGGTTCTGTGAATGTTGCTTGTCGCAGGAGACACACGCCTGTATTTTACTCAGAGTCTCAACTTCAGATTCTTACTGCAACTTACACGTTTCTGCTGAGCTTACAACAGGTCTGTGAAGGTTTGTGCCTTGAGAGAGAAATGTTGGATGTACCGTAACCTGCTTCAGCTGTTGTTGCACCAGTTGTTGTTTTCATTGAAATAGAACAGATCCTGGTCTGGGAATGGACACTGACCAGTACTGTGAAATGTAGGCCACTTGTAGGACCTGGTATTAAGCTCACAGGCCTATCTCTCTCTTTCTGAAACTTCTGAAGCAACTTAAACGATTCTGCTTCTTATACCTGAGGTTTGGGAACAGTTGGTGTTAGAGAAGAAGGTTGGATGTAAACTTCCGTTGTTTCACTGATAATATCACTGTTGTCACACTGATCAGTTCTGTGAAATGTAGGCCACTTGCAGTCCCTGGTCTAGCTCACATGTCTCTTTCCTAAGCTATCACGGCAAGTCATGACTGCTAATAATCCAATTGTTATTGGGCTAGGAAGTACGAAAGAAGTCTTTGTGCAAGGTGTGAGGAAGAAGGTTCGTTTGTTTGAACTTGAGTTGAAGATATTTGACATTTGTGAGACCAGAGTTTGGTCCAGGTTTTACTCTTGTTGCTGTACAATATATACGTTGTATTGGATTCATGCATATTTCGGTACGTGCTACAACATTTCACAGTAAAAACTGACGTGTCTTGGACAGGTGGACTGTGTCCATACTTTAGTTTTTGTGTAGTCTGTGAGACCAGGACAGACTGTTTATAAAGCTGCAGCTGTGGTCACGCACACATGTTACTGTTGTATGAAATAGTCATGTCACATGTTAGAGGGGGAGGGGGGCATACAACGTAGTTGAGGTGAATTGCTTGAAAATGAAATGCAGATGGACATCATTTCCCTTCATGTACTGTACAACGTTTTCCCCAGCCTTTCTGCCACCCCCCTCCCCATTGTTGCAAGTAGAAAGGTCTGCAGTAAGTATTGTACCGTGTGGTGTTGTTAGTGGAGTCACGTTTGTGTTTACGTGTCTGACGAGTTGTTGCAGTTTTGCCCTGAGGCAGGACGCTTTTGTACAAGTTCAATAACCTGTCATTAGCACTGGCCCTGCCCACCCCCACAGGGCTAATGGACTGGTCCAACAGCAGGTTTACTAAATTTTATTCAAGCGTCTTGTTGAAGTTCCTTGATTTATTTATTCATTGGAACAATTACACACATTTTAATACAATGTCGTTGGACCAAAAACAATCAGCTCAGCCTACTGAAATGATAGCCAATCAATCAATCAATCAATCAATCAATCAATTACAGGCATCATGTGCTGAAGTAGGGAGGAGAAATCATGAATAAGCTAGGAAAACATTCCTGTGTGAAATTCCCTGCATTTATTCCATCCTGTAGTCTGCAAGCGTGAAACAATCATGCTGATATCTGCCTGAATAACATTCCAACCTTAGCTGGCAGTTTGCTTGTCTGTTTTGGCTGCTTGTCTGAGACAGAATTTCTGTGTTTGTTTCTGTAAGTCGCTACAGATGGTTCTAAGGCATCGGGTGTTCTCATCCCTTCTTAAACTTAAAGACATCATCCTTCCTTAGACAAACAGACATGTTATGATAAACTCCAGCTGAGGGATTATGTTGGTATGTAAAGCACTCATATGATAATCATCCTTTCTCTAAGAATGAATTTCTCTAAGAAAGAGCTTTATTGTTCGACGATTGTACATGGTACAATGTATGGCAGAAAGACAATGTTACAGTACTATAGAACTTAACTATCTTAACTAACTTAACAATTATTTTCCTACAAACTGCTATGCCTATTGATAACAATTTATGAAATGCAGTGTGGTCATGTATTGATGATTTGGTCTCGCTTATGGAATGAGGTATACAGAAATTTTATGCAGGCAGATATGGGAGTTGAACACTAAGAATAACAATTAATATTTTTTTCATAAGAAGCACAAATCTACATTCTTATATCGTCATGGCGATCAGACTGTTTCCATGACAACAGAGCTGATATCTGATGATTGACAGCTGAAGGGTGAATGACTGACAGGTCAGCTGACCCCTGGGTTGGACAGTTGAATATTTGACCTTCATGACCCTTTAGTCTAAAAATAGTCTGACCCATGATCAACTGTCAACAGTTAGATATGTACCGTAGATCCTGAAATACTGTCTGTGAACATTATAATATGATGTACTATAAGTTTTATTTTTTTATCTACTTCAATTTTCACCTCAAAACAAGGCTCATATGAACTACATGATTTGGGTTACATTAAGGAACTGTAGAGACAGATGTTTGTCCACCCTAGACTTGAAAAGTTGAAGGTACCTATTCCACAGTGATGTAGTTCTAGGAAAGAAGCTTTCAGCGTGGAACTATCTCCTGAGTGAGAGATGGAGTATGGAGGAAGAAATGGTGATTAGCTTCAATGGGGGCCCACAAGCTCTTTTCCGTAGAGCGTAATCGGCCGTTTTAATTCTACGTAGAGCATAGACGGACCGCTCCAATATTTTTGCGTAGAGCGTATTCGCCGTTTTAATTCTACGTAATGCGCTGTAGCCACTTGGAATTTATCGTAAAGCGTTATCGAGAGGTTTCCGAATTCAGCATAGAGCGTTGTCGGGACCCCCCCTTGCAGGCTCTCTTCAAACTGTACTACTGGTAGCAGAACGTGTCCTGACTGAGAAAGTTCAAAGTGGGCTCACACGAATGAAGTCTTGAAATGTTTTGGTTGGTTTTATATTCACAGCTCACTGGGAACTCCTTGTACTGCAAACATTTACTTTGTCTCGTGTTACGTTATGATGCAAGACAACCACAGACTCAAAACACTGTGGAAACTTCAATTTTCCCACTACGAAAATTTTCCTTCTTTATCTAGTAGACAAAAAATGTGCTACTTTTGTACTGTTTCTGTCTGCTTCTGTTGTATTATTATTGTTATTCGTTGTCCATCCTTTATTTTCATGTTACATGTACCTGCAATTAGCCTACGGGCAAGAACTTGCAAAACTTTCTTTCTTATTAGTTGAAGGTTTGCTGTTTCTTTGCTTCTTCATAATTTAGATTTATGCCAGTTTCTTTAGTTTGTTTTCTTCCATATCTTTAGTAAATGCTTCATTAAATTTATGCTTTGTTCTCGTTTCTTTTGTAACATCTGTGTCCATAATATCACCAGGGTCCATAATATCACCACCTTGAGAAATAGTGTGCTTAAAGATATTTTTACTGCAACATACTTTTGGTATGTACTCCTGCACACCTCAAATGTACATACCTAGGGTATGTTGCAGTAAAAATATCTTTAAGCACACTGTTTCTCAAGGTGGTGATATTATGGACTATGGTGATATTATGGACTATGGTGATATTATGGACACAGATGTTATATGTTTTCTTCCTTAGTCTTTAGTTGATGTTTTTTCCTTTTCCTTTTTCTGTGTCTTTTTTTAGGACTTGAACAACACGCCCCCACCTGAAGATCCATCGGTAAATACTCCTTATTTTTATACTTTCCTTTTGCTTTCTTGAGACTACCCTTTTTACTTTCACTTGTGTTTCTTGTATCTCCAAACAAATAAGGTCAATGACCTGAACCGGATGTCTGTCACCATGGTAACTGGTGTTGGATTACATCATGTGCACATTCCATGCTGTATGTTTATGTTTACCTTTGCAGAAGGAAACATAATATGGTTTTTGCTCTGTTTCTTCTTCCTCTTCTTCTTCTCCAAAGAAATATGGTCAATGACCTGAACCAGACGTCTGTCACCATGGTAACTGGTGTTGGGTTACATCATGTTGCACTTTTATAGCAGGAGGGATTTATACTCCTGTCTATGAATGTTTTTGAGTAAGAATTAACAGAGCAGACCATATGCAAAGGTAAACATAATGCATTCGCTTTGCAAACGTTATCTTTCTAGTCTATTGTTTCATAATCATAACAAATTGTGAAATTTCTGGCACCCATACCTCTTCACTTCACCCTCCAACATACCCCCTTCCCATACCCCCTCCGTGCTCCATACCCCCTCCTTGCCCCCTAGCCCCCCTCTGTGCACCCCCCTCCCAGAGTTGACCAGTCCGTAGCCTATCACCACCTGTGCAGTTCCACACATGCCTGTGGCAAGTACACTTCTCATTCTCTGTTTGGGTCAGAGGTAAACGGAACAGTGGTGGTGACCTTCCGCCATCTTGAATCCAGAGGTTAAAGGATGGACTTCTGCCTGCTTCTGTTTACTGCATGGATCAAAACAGACATTTCAAAACATTTCTCGTTCTTTGCGTCAGAGGTCAATGGAACAGTGGTGTTGACCTTCTACCATCTTGAATGTAGGGGTCAAACAGACTTCATGATCTGTGGTTGTCTTTTTGCTGCATGTTTCAAAACAGACATTTCACAAAATTTTGAATACAAATGGCATCAGTGCCTCTTAAACCACAATCTAGGCTTGGCATGGACTGCAAAAGGCACAACAATGACATTCAAGTGTATCTGAATTTTACAAATGTGGGGCTGTTACTATCTCTGCATGTGAATTTTACTACTTTCAGGTCTGGAGGTTTTATTAAAACGTGCATTTCTGTATTCATGGGGTACAAAATAATCTTTTTTCTCCATCTGTCATTTCATGTATTTTTCATCAAGTGTTGTGTGACAGGTTTGATTTAGTTGGTAATACTATACATTGTAAGGACATAATTAACAGGAGCTGTACTGGGATTTAGGCTTGATTAGTTGATGGCTTTTTTATTATCTGTCACCTGCCAATAGCTGCTGTATCATATTAAGGTTTAATTAAAGATTATTGTAGTTTATTGCTAGAACTTAGAAGGCTGAAATTTTTGTGAATAGCAAAGTTGTGGATCTATGGAACAATAAGATTATGTGTACAAAAATTAGGTAACGTTACTGATATATAAATCCCTGATCACAGTTACAGCACAAACAGAGTCAGATGTGTGTTTATTTTCCTTCATATTTTCCTGCATAAGTGCCAAGATGTTTTTCATAGCATTTGTTTTTTTTTTTTATTTATTCAGAATTGTAACAACACAATACAAAGTGTGTACAAGGCAGCAAGTAAGCTGATGGCGCACACACCTAACACTCACCTAGACATGTGACAAGGGTACAACAATAGATAGTTAAAAACATGAATAGTAGATGAATAACATAAACATACAAATCAAACCAATTTTAAGAATCAATTTTGGTACTCAAAATAGCATTTTCATATAAATCAAACCAATTTACAAGATAATGTTTGGTGTGGCTCAGCTGGAAGAAGCGCAAAATCTATTTGATTGGGCAATGAAGGTGTGGAGTGCATCTGTGAGTTTTGTGTTAGTGTCATAGTTGTGAGCTGGAGAACCCTGGAGCAGGAGAGATGTGGTTAGGTGTTGTTGAGTAAGGTGTTCAACAGTGGAGGCAAGGGTGTTACGTGGCTCGGTGTGGAGGGGGCAATGTAACAAGTAGTGTGGTACTGTTTCAGAGGGGGCCCCACAGGCACACGTCTTGTCTTTAAGGCTCATTTTGTGCAGGGTGCAGTTTAATTGACTCCAACCCATGCGCAACCGTGCAGCATAGATGTTGAACTGCCTAGAGCCGAGACTACGGTGCAACTGATGGTGCCTTGGTGTGAGAGGTGCTTTTTACACACCCGTTTGAATGCAGCAAGACTACTGACATCCTTTACTGTCTGGGTAATGTCTGGGCATTTGTTTGTGTATGTGTATGTAATTTGTGTATCAAACGCTATGTAATTTAGTACCATGGAATAACTCAAGAAGGTTTGGATGGATTGTCATGAAACTTGGTAGGTGGGTAGGTCTTGATGAGACCTTGAAATGAGTAGATTTTTGGCCCCCTGGCGCTTGTTTTCCTTCCTATATTTCACCAAATAAGTTCCCTGCTGTTAGTTTGCTGTCAGATTTGTGTCTAATACGTCACCCAGCCTAAGTGCCGTGCTGACAGGTTGTCGTTAGGCTTTCCTCTGCTGATTTCCCTACTGACTCGTCTGTCAAAGTCACACTGTAGCAGGTCTGGCTAACCGGCTTTGGGCATTATGGTTAGGCCTAGGAAAATTTACGTTTCCTTGACCGACCATAAAAAAAACTGCCAACCCTAGCCTTTTTTTGTGTGGACCCCTGCAAGGGACATGAATTTTTTGTAGCAGGGCTGGCTAACCAGCAGACTGATGGGTGTTTGGAGGAATGCACAATATGCTGTATTATGGTAAGGCCTAGGAAAAAAAATGTTGTGTTTCCTGTTTCCTGACTGATGGTAGAAAAAACTGCCAACCCTAGCTTTATTTTGGTGGACCCCTGCAAGGGACATAAAAACCTTTTCTAGCTCCATGATCTGACACCTGACACCTGAGTGATTAAACGTTATACAATCAGTCAAACTGTAGCAGCCCTGATTGACTGATAGGCCTAGGAAAAAAAATGTTGTGTTTCTTGTTTCCGGACCGACCCTAGAAAAAACTGCCGACCCTAGCCCTTTTTTTGTTTGGACCTCTGCAAGGGACAGAAATTTTTCGAGCTGATCAACCTTTTCTAGCTCCTTGATCTGACATCTGAGTGATGAAACGTTGTACAATCTGAAGAAGTTAATGTTGTTTGATTGTGTCCTGCCAAAAATCATCAAATTTTTATCTTCCTTATTTGACCTTAACCTCAAAATCCATATCCCACGTCTATCATCAGTATTGATGAGTATTAATAATCATTGCCTTGGATTGTCGAAATCTCAGCACATGACTTTTTCATAGATTTTCTTTCTGTAGGTGTAAATCATTACTTTTCTATTGTTATAAGCCCAGTTGTTAGACAGTTTCGTGGTAGCGGTTTCTATAACGAGAATTCAGGATTCAGGCTCACGACTGTAAGGAGGAACAGAAGCTCAAGCCTATGTGTGTCTGGTTGCTATGACGATAACCATGGTAATGGTTGCTATGACGATAACCATGATAACAGTTGCCATGACGATGTTCCAGGCTCACGGCCGTCTGGAGGAACAGAAGCTGGAGCCTGTTCGTGAGAGTTTGTGATGACCACAGTAACAGTTGCCATGACGATATTTAGGGATAACCATGGTAACAGTTGCTATGACGATAACCACGGGAACGGTTGCTATGACAATAACCATGGTAACTGTTGTTTTAGGCCCACGACCGTCTGGAGGAACAGAAGCTGGAGCCTGTTCGTGAGTGTTTGTGATAACCATGGTAACTGTTGCTATGACGATATTTAGGGATAACCATGGTAACGGTTGCCATGCCGATGTTGCAGGCCCACGACCGTCTGGAGGAACAGAAGCTGGAGCCTGTTCGCGAGGAGAATTTGAAGCTGGTGGATGACATTGTGACGGACCTGAACCCCGTCATCGCCAGTAGCAACGACGCCGCGGAACTCTCCGGACTGCTCAACGAGCCGCACTTCAAGGTCAGACATGGGTTTACTGTTTACCTTCAAGGTCGGACACTGTTTTGCTGTTTACCTTCAAGGTCGGACACCTTGAAAGTTATTCCTGTTTTCCAGAAGGAAAAACATTGTTTTGGGTGTGTTTCTTCTTCTCTAAACAAGTAAGGTCAGTGACCTCGACCAGAGGTCTGCCACCATGGCAACTGTTATTGTATTTGTTTGTTGTTGTTTACAGGCTCTGCTGGAAGCTCACGACGCGGTAGCAGCCAAGTGGTACGAGACGCCGCCCCCCCTCCCCATGTTTGTTTATTTGTTTATCTGTTGTTGTTTACAGGCTCTGCTGGAAGCTCACGACGCGGTAGCAGCCCAGTGGTACGAGACCCCGCCCCCCTCCCCATGTTTGTTTGTTTATTTGTTTGTTGTTATTTACAGGCTCTGCTGGAAGCGCACGACGCGGTTGCCGCCAAGTCGTACGAGACGCCGCCCCCCTCCCCGGTGCAGCTGTCGTCACCCCCTCCTCCCGCGTACAACGGCATGGCTCCAGGCGACGCGATCCGGATGGTCGGCATCCGCAAGTCGGAGGGCGAGCCGCTGGGGGTCACGCTCAAGGTCGAGAACGGAGAGCTGGTCATCGCCAGGATCATGCACGGCGGCATGATCGACAGGCAGGGTGCGGGTTTGTGAGAGTTTGCATGTTTGCTGTAGGTAGTTTGTGTGCATAGAGGCATGGTGAACAGGCATGTCTTTGTGTTTTCTTTTTTTTGCATGTTTGCAGTAGGTAGTTTGGTACCATATGGATTTTTGCTCCGTGTTGCTCTACTTATTCTACATTTGCATATTCATGCCCTCATTTGCATGTTCATGAGCGGTTACATACCCTCATTTGCATGTTTGTGAGCATTTACATACCTTAATTTGCATTTTCATGAGCATTTACATACCCTAATTTGCATGTTCGTGAGCGCTTACATGCGGCCTTTACCCCCCAGGTCTCCTCCATGTTGGTGATATCATTAAGGAGATAAACGGCAAAGATGTCTCCAACAGCCCCGAGGCTCTGCAGGATTACTTAAAGAACGCCACCGGCAGCATCACACTCAAGATCCTGCCCAGCTACCAGGAGAACCTGCCTGCTACACAGGTATGTCTTATATAGCCACACAGGTATGTCTTAGAGCCACACAGGTATGTCTTAGATATCAAGAATGTCTTTAATGACAAAAAAAAGGTAAAGGTAGTGCCTTTTTGAATCAGTCAGGGCAGTGGGTTATCATGTAAGTTCATCTGTGTTGGTAGTTACATGTAGAGAGTTAAAACTTTAGATCCAACACAAATGAAATCTCTCACCTAAAGCTTTTGACCAGTCACTAGTGGTCTTCCTCAGTAGACTGACCCAATGAGACTTGTCACTTTTCTTCTTTTTCTTTGAGGCTTCATGTGGCAGTGTGTTGAATGTTAATCCACTGTATCTAGGGCAGTATTGGAAGGCAGAGCCCATCCTTCTCCTTCCAGTGCCTCTCGATCTTGTGTCTGCTTGCCTTACCACTTGGCCTTTCAAGGCTAGCACACGTGCAAGTTTAGCCTGTGAAGATGAATGTCTTGTCTTAGTGACTTAGGTAAACATCTTCTCTCCCCTCCTTCAGGTGTATAAGAAGTTAAACGTCTTGTGTTGTCCCTTCAGGTGTACATGAAGACCCACTTTGACTACGACCCAGCCAAGGACAACCTGATCCCCTGTAAGGAGGCGGGACTCGCCTTCCAGAAGGGAGACGTGCTGCAGATCGTCAACCAAGACGACGCCAACTGGTGGCAGGTACGAGACGCAAAAATTCACCAACTTTACAAATATGGCTGTGTGTGAAGTTGTACATTTAGGGCATGATTGTGTTTCAACTAACCTTTTTTTTTATTCGGAGAATCATCTTAAAAACTGTTTGTACTAACGTCTGTTTTAAGTCACAGAGATATTTGCCAGCATGTGACACATGGAAGTTTGATGGGAGACCTCTGGCTGCCTCAGTCCTGCAGGCTTACATTATGCCGGCTAACTAACTAATAATAAGAATAAAGTCTGAAACAAACAAACTCAAACAGCCAGATGGGACCAGGCATGTTTTCTCCCTAACAGTAAGGAACACGGTGCTGTGCAGTCTTGCAGCCAGCTGCAGTTCTCCCTAACAGTTGGTTAAGAGTTGATGCTGTTCAGGCACAGGTTTCTTTCAGGCAAGGGACTTGGCCTCCTAACCTTCTAACTCTGCTCACACAATCTTAAGGCCAGCTTGGATGACAGCTGGCTCCCAGTCAGTCCTGGCTTTCCTGCTAACTACATTTTTTTTGTATCTCTGCTGTCCTGTCCTGTTCCTGTACCTTTTTCTAACTCTATTTCTCCCTCTCCTGTCTGTTTCTTTGTTTCTGTACATGTCTGTTTTAGGCACAGCATCTGGACCCATCCAGCACGACGGGCCTGATCCCGAGCCAGACTCTCGAGGAGCGCCGGAAGGCGTACGTTCACCAGGAGCCAATCAGGAGGAAGTGGTACAAATGTACGCAGATCGGTTTTCACCCCACAGGCTCGGGTTTCACTTCTGAAGCTCGGGTTTCACACCTTAGTCTTTCACAGGGCTCAGGACATCTGTGCAGGAAACTCATACCTTTCTGAGCTGCCAGTTAAAAAGCAGCGTTGATGTCATCAAGCATTATCCACATTTCTTTATGCCTGATACCATATTTGACTGTTAATTTGCAAAAAGCTTTGATAGAACGTGTAGAACAAAAAATCAAAGTTACAAAATGTGCAAGGAATGAGAAAATCTGTTAAAAATTTGTCGTAGTCTGACTGTCTACAACAAATAGACATTTTAAATCCAACCTTTCCAGAAAGGTACCAGGCATAAAGCATGTAGGATGAGGCATTATTGAAAATTATGTCAGAAAAATTATTGTTGTTACTCAAGGTATCCTCCTCTGATTGGTCAGCTATTAAGCCAATCAGGGAAGTTGTCTCTCAAGGAAGACATGAATGTCCTGAGGCCTGTGATTGGTTCATCGTTATAAAAGCCCGTTTGTGATTGGTTGTTATGCAGGCGGCAAACGCGGAGAATAACGGCCCGGCGGGGCTGATTCCGAGTCAGGTGCTCGAGGAAAGACGGAAGGCCTTCGTCAAACCCGAGTACGACTACGTGGAACGACCCAGCGGTATTCGTAAGTTTGTTCTCGTCAAGAAATGTCATCAACGCAACAAACATGGACAAAACCAAAGGAGGAACAGGAACACGTTTCAGCACAAATTATCAAATTTGTTCTACTTTGTTGAAGAGGTTCATCAGTCACATAAGATTAACAGTTAGTAGTAAGAACATGCATCAATCAGTGACTGTTTTGAAAGGTAGAAAACACGTACCTCCAAATTTTTGACATCCACTCTACGGAGTGATCTAGTCTCGCACGAACATGAGACAAGATCGAGACTTGAATAGCTCTTCAAAGATCTATTCAAGTCTCGTTACTACTACTTTGTCTTAAAGTTTATATTTAGGTTTGAAAACAGTGTCTCTGTTTCAGTCACTTGTTGATTTTCTAAAAGACTGGAAGGTAAAGTTTTATGCCTGAAAGTGTTTTGGGCTGGTAGTGCCCTGGAAATTAACAAAAGTTCCTGTTTCTGTGGTTTTCTTTCACCCATGTTTGGTGCAACTGGTCCTCCTGCATGATTTTGCTACTAACACCCCCTGGACCCTGAATGGATCCTTCCTGTCCCTGGCAGAGCCAGTGTTAGTTAGGACTGTACCATGTGCAGTGGAGGTAGGGAATGTTCATAACAAGCATGTAGCATGACTAGAGAAATGAACAAAACTGACATAAAGAAAATGTGATTACAGTAAAAAAACATAACATAAAGTCCTACATGTAGGTGTGTTTTCTTGCCTTCAAGGCCTGTTCCTTACAGAAATATCATTTGTGTACCATAATATTGAGGTAAACTACTAACAGCAATTGTGCAATTGCAAGAAACTTTTGCGCACCTTTACACACCTGTAAAACACCTGTAAAACACCTGTAACACCTGTTCCAGGCTTCACACATCTTGTGGTGCAGAATTTACCATTTGCGCACGGAAGATCTTGAAAGTTTTGGTGACAAACTAATTTTTGAGAGTTATTCAGCATGTTGTGCTGCTCAGTGTGTAATTAAAACAGTTCAAGGCAAGCTAAATTCAATATTGCAAACATCCCTAAACCTTTGCTCATGGAAAACAGAAGAATCAAAAAAATTTTGCCTGAGTGAATGCAGAAGTTCTGCTTAGCATGGATTTGCAGAAAAAGCATTTTGACGGACAACATTCGCTGCAATGCTGATGATGATGTAATAAGCTTGTTGCTGAGGACATTTCCGACATTTCTTGATGTTTTGTAGACTAGGCTGAAAAATCAATCTCCAATTTCTCAAATCAGAGAGAATCGAAAAGCTCATGAAAAAATCAGCACCTATAATCAGGTGTTCTCAACAATGATTTTACATGAATCAATCAATTACAAATTATTGAAATGATTCCATAAAACAAGAACCATAATTGCTGGAGTTGCTGTTGCCAGCCTGAGTTGTATTTACTTGTACTGTGGATTTTCCTGTTGTCATTTTTTATGTTGTCCCCCTTGCCCTTCCAGTTGGGTTCCGACTCATGTAATTGAAACGTTGTCCCTTCCCTCTGCAGTTGGGTGTGGTTCTCTAACATGCCCCCCTCCCCTCCCATTGGGTTCTAATTCATGACCTTGAAACGTTGCCCCCCTCCCCCTTGTAGTTGGGTTCTCACTCATGACTTTGAAACATTGCCCCCCTCCTTTTGTAGTTGGGTGTGATTCTCTAACGTTTCCCCCTTCCAATTGGGTTCCGACTCATGTACTTGAAATGTTGTCCCCCCCCTACAGTTGGGTTCTGATTCATGACCTTTAAAGATTTCCCCCTTGCAGTTGCGTTCTGACTCACGACCTTGAAATATTTCCCCCCCCTCCAGTTAGGTCGTGTCCTTATAAACGAGTGAAACGTTGCCCCCCTCCCCTCCAGTTGGGTTCTGACTCATGACCTTGAAACATTGCCCCCCTCCCCCCTACAATTGGGTTCTGATTCATGACTTGAAACATTGCCCCCTCCCCCCTACAGTTGGGTTCTGACTCATGACCTTGAAACATTGCCCCCTCCCCCCTACAGTTGGGTTCTGACTCATGACCTTGAAACATTGCCCCCCTCCCCCCTACAGTTGGGTTCTGACTCATGACCTTGAAACATTGCC